CTATGAACTGGAAGCCATCAATGCCTATCCATTGAGTTTACCGAGACAAGAAGGTCAAGTGAAGACCAACACAGGGGTGTTTTAAGTTCACACTGAGCGAATCAAACTGTTTAACCTATGGCGATGTCCTTTATGCAACCAACATTGGTGGTCTGCGTTTGTATAAAAGGCTCCTCACAAATCCATAATCTCCTGTGCCAGCCTTTTACTTGATGATGTAAATCAGTGATTTTTAACCAGTGTGCCGCGGCGCACAGGTGTGCCGCGAGATCTTCCTTAGTGTGCCTTAGTTTGAACGGCACACTAAGAAAATGCGAAAAACCACGTGATCCCAATTGAGTATTCACCGTTGTTCATAGCTATTTTTTCTTTATTTAGTTTGAGTCATTCTATGACTAATAACTGTCTACAGTTGTATGTCGTCTGACTTACCATGTTTTTATTTTTCACAATTCAAATATTTTTCATATATGTTTAGCCACGGGTGCCGCTATTTTTTCATGCATTCTAAGGTGTGCTGTTGGCAAAAAAGGTTGAGAACGACTGATGTAAATTTACAGTTGTCTTATTGCACACTCCTCGACCCACTATCTTCACTACATTGGATACAGATCTAACAATATGTAAAATTTCCTGACTGGATTGAAATCAAGTAGCATGGGCTCAAGTTGGGAATGAATGAATGAATGGGGTTTAGTGTCCCACTTTTCTGCGCCAGCTCTTATAGTCTTAATCCATACGCCAGATACTCTACAGTAAAATAGTTCGTTTACATTTAGGCTTAAATTCACATTTCAAATTTTCAATATCACAATTATGCACATAAACGAATATTCATATATAAAAATGCATACATCGAGTGTCATTAGCATAAAAGTATTGATGTTTTGGTATATAACGGTTCGTGTATTGATGTATCTAAATCATAATAATATTACATTATTACATTATAATAAGCACCTTATTTCTGCTTGAGTTGAAGGAATGACACCTTTTTGGCGCGGTGTGCTGTTTGAACTTTGCCAACAGTGCACGACGAATATGTCAAGCTGCCTTTGGTAACCCCTCAAAATTTAAATGATGGCAATCACTGTTGTTCGCAACATGTATGTAATCGTTCGGGTAGGACGAAAACCGAGGTCCCGTGTATGTAAGAGATGCCTTGACAGATGGGATTCGAAATATAAGTAGGCCGTAGTGTCGCTTCCCAGGCAAAATGTTCCTCATAGCACATTATAGAGAGAGAGAAATGGGGTTTAACGTCCACTCGACACAAACTAGGTCATTTCGGGACTAACACATGGTTTAATTTTATTTCAATCATTCGCTTGCGCGTAGGGGTCTTTAGCAGTGGGAGGAAACCGGAGGACCCGGAGAAAACCCACGAGGTTGGACAGGCGACCCTACTCCTTGTCACGTACAACCGGGGAATCGAAACCCCGTTAGTTGACTCAATGACAGACCGTATGATACAGCGCGCGCGTGCTAACCATTCGGCCATCCAACCCCCCTATAACACATTATATGTCGTATTCCTGTCTTCATTAGCCCAGTCGGACGTTAAATCCCATATCACTTTACTTCCGTAACAAACTTCTTATAACTAGTTAGGACGCGAAACTTTATTTCATTTCATTTGTAACATGTGTGACAAAAGTGCACGTCCTATAATTTTAGGCCGCATAATATCCTGAATATAATCTGTAATCATGAGAGAATTTTTAAAAAAAAACCTATCCTTAAAGCCATGCGAATCTTATTCTTAAGGTTATTACATTTAATATAGCTCTCTTTACTGTAAAATAATGGCACCGTACAATGAATAAAATATATAATTTATTATGTGCATAAATATACTCTACTAATTCGTGAAGGCCCTTTGAAAGAGATACGTTTTTAATGATTTCTTAAAGTTATCTTGTAATTTAGAGTTTTTAAAGTGTCTGGTAAATCACCCCATATGCAGTGGACTGGAAACACCGAAGGACCTGTCCGCAAATATTTTTCGTTTTGTTGACGAATAATGACTGGTTGTTTGAATATCGTGTCAGATATCGGTTAGGATTGGTTTTAAGTAATTGATCATTTAACAATGAGATTTCTAGGATAAAAATTATTTTCAATTGTAGACATTAAATATGAGGTGGATTACAGATTATATGTAGAAGATCAATTAAAATGATTCTGATTACACTATTTTGCCTTATTACACTATTTTGCCTATACCGTTTTTTTAGGACTTCGAATTTTGTCTAATGGTTTGGATTGTTCGTACTTGGTTTTATTTTATTTCTAGACGATGTATTTTTTATCTGAAATAAAAAAAAATGACGATGTTGTAGATTTGTAAGATGTAGATTGAAATATCACATCCACAATTCAAAGAAATGATTGTAGTTATTATTTATAGTGATGTTCTATGAATTTCAAGTTAGTAGAAGTGCTGGGGATATTTGCGTATCACGGGATAACAACTTAGCTGGCCAAAAAAATAAACACTAAATTATGTTTACATAAAATGAACTTTGCTTTATATATACTATTCAAAAAAAGTAGGGGATATTTGATTTTTAAGTGTTATTAAAGTCACCTAATGAAACTGACGAAGAAACAAATAACAAAATGAAATGAAGTTCACATTCATCGATTTATTCCAAATGATCGTTAGACTAAGTAAGGCACAGACTGACCATTATAAGGGTAAAATGATACCCGGGGTCAAACAGCAAAGTTACCACAGCATCACAACCAAGTCAGTAACGGGTAAATCCTCCTCTGTTTGCCAAACAAGCATTGATCCGACGTGGCATACTCCTAATGAGACGTCTAAGGTCATTTTGGTCCAGATTGTCCCATTCCTGTTGCAACGCAGCAGCAAGTTCTTGGACATTGGCAGGACGTTGTTGACGTTGACGTAACCTCTGTCCAAGCATGTCCCAGACATGCTCGATGGGGGAGAGATCGGGACTCAGTGCTGGCCAAGGTAATGTGGTGATGTTCTGTTGTTGGAGGTAACCTGTAACGATCCTGGCCCTGTGACATCTTGCGTTGTCAGCCTGGAAGATGAAACGGCGGCCATGACGTCGTGCGAACGGCACAACATGGACTGCCAAGATGTTGTCCCGGTAGTACTGCCCTGTAACACGCCCTGCAACAACATGTAAAGCAGTTCTTCCAGCAACAGTGATGCCTCCCCACACCATAACAGAACCACCCCCAAATCGATCATGTCTGATGACGTTAACGTCTTGGAAGCGCTCGTTTCGACGACGCCACACCCTCCTACGTCTGTCCAAAAAATCAACAGTGAACCTTGACTCATCTGAAAACATCACATTGCTCCAGCGTCGATTATTCCAGTGTTGACGATCCCTACACCAACGACGTCTTGCCTGAATGTGATGATCTCTCAAACAAGGGATCACGCGAGGACGTCGGGCGCGAAGGTGACCCCTATGCAGTCGATTCCGAATCGTCTGGCCACTCACTCTCACACCAGTGTCTGTTTGAAGACGAGCGCTGATCTGATTTGCTGTGATGACACGATTTCTCAAGGCCAAGGTACGGATAAATCGATCCTCGGCTTGAGTTGTTGCCCTTGGTCGACCTGAGCGTGGTCTGTCCTGTACAGATTGTGTATCACGGTATCTGGACCATAGCCTGCTTATGACAGACTGAGAAACATTCATCGTCCGCGCCACAACCGCCTGTGTTGTGCCGATCTGTAGCATGCCAAGGGCACGTAACCTTTCATTTTGGGTAAGCCGACGCATATCAAAATTTGTTTTCTGGTCACTAAAACAATTAAACTGATGTTTCCACCCTGGAATTCAATGCCACAATGACTGTAACATTCAAAGTCAGAGTCGTGCAAATCTTGGGTTGGACCCCCATGATGATCCCAAGCATCACCTGCATTCCATGCGGTAGCTATTGGTGCGTTTGGGCGTCACATGTAACTGGAAATGTTTCTTCTGTTAGGTTCTATAGTGCCTTTTTTCGTAGTCATTTGCATATTTTAGTATTATGCCCCCAAAATCAAATATCCCCTACTTTTTTTGAATAGTATAGTTGACAAAAGTTTAACGCCCCATGTATGGGATTAATCCATATAAGCTTAGTACTATTTTAATGATCTTTTTTTAAAATTTAAAACGGGATAAGGATTATTAGAAACAATAAACAAACTTATTGAATTTATATTCAAGACTCAGTTTGTGCCATTATATGCTTATATGCTTTTATCAACATGTTTTTGTTTTAACAAAATGAGTCCGAGGAATTGGAATAAACAGTGTCGAAACCTCTTACGTCTTAAGTTCGTTAGACTGATAAAAAGTTTACATCTGATTATGTCAACGCGGGAATAAATAGTAATACAGTATTAAGAATAAATTTTACGAATTAACGTTAACATTTCTGAAAGGTTTTTGTGGGCACGGGAAAGACCCGACTGCATAGCGCTCTGTGGGTTAGCAATTAAACATTATTATCCATGGAATTAATTCTAGAAGCTGTAAAACCCATATTGCTTCCTGCATACACGTGCACCCACCCAAACCAACACCCAACCAGTTTAGAACCTCAGTGAACTGTTACAAATAGTGCATCAGCAATATCATCATCTCGTTTCCTCTAGCATATCTGTGACGTGAGTATAGACTTCATTTCCTTGGGATTGGTCGGCGTGGTATCCCTTTGTCAGTGGTTCTGATAAGTTCTTGTCATGCTAACGGTGGGAAAACCGAGTAGACATGCGGGCGCATGTGAAAGAACAGCTGGCAGATGCAATTAGACAAAGATCTGGCGGGTACGCCGCTATAAATGGTGGAGAAAAGTACGACATTTCATTTGTGTTCGTGATAGTTAAAATAAAACACAACAAGAGCGAAAAGAAATTCATTATAGCAGTTTATATATTATGACAATAGTTATTACGCCATTAGATGACAAAATGAAATTACTACATTTATTATAGTTATTGTTTGTAACGTCTTACGTTACATTATTACAATGTATTACATAAAACAAGACATATAAGTCATTACGTATATACTCCCAGTTTATTCGTTATTACATTACCCATACTGTATGTATCTATGGAGATTATTTAGTCTAGAGCCGCGGTGGCTCAGTGAGTATGACGTTGTCTCGCTAACCTGGAGGTCCCATGTTCGATCTCAGTGTTGGCAGAGAAAGTCTATCGGGATTTACCTGTGTTGTTCCCCTTGTCAGTGGTGCAGGGCAGGGGCCAGGCAAGGGACAACGTATATTCGTTTAGATGGGGTGAAAAACCGAGGTCAATTGTACATAACTGAACCATTATTGACAGTTTGAATATGATATAACAGTAGTCAGCAGAGCCGGTGTCAGGATAATTTCCCTCACAGCACACTGCATGGCGTATGTCCGTCTTCATTATCCCAGTTGGAGTAGAAGGACGTTAAACCCTATTTCGTTTATACTGTAATACTATGTGTATATACGGGGATTAATTAGTTCTCTGAATGATGTTCTGTTCAGTGTATTGAAGTCGTTACCTACATACGATTGGCAGCAAGAGTTATGCTAATTAGGTACCTTGCCAGATAACTCGGCAAAGATCCGAAGCTAATTTTCCGAAAACGTGGCACCAATAAATCATCCCTTTGTTTCCATATTAGGATAGGGAGACCCATCTACGCCATAATGCCTCATGCTTTCTTGATTAAGTTAACTTTAGAATATCATATTAAAATTTAAAACGGTTGTCTTATACTGTGTCGCTAAGAATACTAGAGCCATTGCTAGCTTTGGTAGTTTTATAATGGTTTCGTCCCGTTCGAAAAACGCTGCTTTTTTTTTCTCTTTTTCAATTCAGCGTACATATCAGAGACTGTATGTGATAAAGGTCTGAATATTGATTTTTTCCCCATAACAATTGTTAGTAATCAAAACTAATTCGAAAGTTGCGAGTAGACCGGTGTGTAAATCTTTAAGACTCACGAAAATTGAAAATCGGCCTTAATTCTGTTAAATTTCAAACCGATTTTTGAAAAATTTATATTTTTTATAGCCAGGGACATATTTGATCAGATAAAAATAGAATTTAGAAAATATGATATTTCTATTTTTCCTTGAAATTTTTTCTAAAGTTGGATAGCCGACGTATATCCGATTCCAGCGATATAAGCTTTGCTGCCAATTGTTCAGCTTTATTTTACGAAGAGCATGTAAATATCTTAGTTATGTATGTGTGAAGGTGGGGGTAGTTTGTATCCGCTCATCATAACGTTTCGGTATTGTGTAAATCTTAAGCATTGCGTGCAATTCTAGTTATTATTATTATTATTATTATTATTTAAAAGATATATTTCAGCTACAATTTATATCTAAGATATAAATTATTAAAATTCTCCATTACGTCATCTATCAAATCGTTGCTTAGAAACCACAATGAAACATCATCACAAACCAAACAAGAGGTAGCAGAAAAGATGAGTTTGTCAGTATCCCAACTCCTGCAGCTGAAACATACAAGGTCACAATGATCAGCTGAAATCCAGGCCCAGTAGTGACGAGTGTGGTGTACGAAACAGGGTTTGCCAGCTATGGATTTTTGTAAATGAATACTTAGAATGTATTACAGGAGTCGGCCCTACCTGTATTGGTATTAAAGGTGTAGGCCTTACCTATATTGGTATTAAAGGTGTAGGCCCTAGCTCTATTGGTATTAAAGGTATAGGCTCTACCTGTAATGGTATTAAAGGTCTGGGCCCTACCTGTAATGGTATTATGAAGGTGTAGACCCTGCCAGCTACGGATTTTTGTAAATGATTACTTAAGATGAATTATGGACATATCATGGCGTAAATACCATAGCCCTTGCATGAAATCATAATCATCATATATCATTTCTCAACAGTCCTAGCTACTTTCAGATGACCCACGCGGGATTCTTTGGCGGGTTCCGTGCACTCCGTTACCATTCATGGCCATTACGTGTAGCCATTTAATTTGTCATAAATAAAGATTTTATCTCCCCACCCCGATCCCCGGCATCAGACCACAACTTACCAGGGCAACCTAGCTTTTTCATTTCTTCTGTTGATAAACAATGTTTATAAAGCTTCGTTAACTCCCTGAAATAAGTAATTATTTTAATTCTAATTTATAACATTTACAGACCATCAATTTAATATAACAAAAGGAAAAAAAACAATTTGCAACTAAAATCTGAGTTTAAAATTAGTTTCATCGAAATGATATGAGAACAATCAAGCATTAACTTGCACAGAACTTGGGAATTATTCAGATCAAAGCAGATAGTCTATTTATGGTCTATTCTATTCTAATGTCGCACCGAAAATTGCCTTACGTGTTTGTGCTGTTTTACACCGCTTAAGTGGGGGGTTTAAATGTCACTAGCGTTGGGGGTTAAACAGGTTTAAGTGAGAAGTTAACATGTCCCTAGAGCTGAAGGGTAAATTTAAGGGAGAGGTTAACTTTTCTCTAGCGTTGTACGGGTAAACAGATTTAAGTGAGGGGTTAATATTTTTCTAGCTTTGAAGGGCAAAATATTTAAGTGAGAGGTTAAATTTTCTCTGGCGTTGTAAGGGTACACAGATTTAAGTGAGGGGTTAACATTTTTCTAGTTTTGAAGGGTAAAAATATTTAAGTGGGAGATTAACATCTTTAGCGTCGAAAGGGTACACAGATTTACATGACTTGTTAAAGATACATTATGGGAGATAAGATAAAGAGATGGCAGTTCTCGCTATAATAGTTAAAAACTAGATAGTGTAAAGGTAATTTGCTGGAAATTTCAGTCAAATTGATCCACTATGAGCCGAGAAAGAAGCGGGTGAAATTTTTGCATAGTCTCGGTCATCATTACTAAAATCATTAATGTAAACAGCATAGTCTCGATTATCCACTTTTTCTGATTTAATTATCAACGGCCGTTAGCGGCATATAGGAATCTAATCCAGCCAACATCGAAGGCTAGCCTTGACATCGAGAGTTTATTATGGTCTGGATAAGTTAATTAATGTCTAATTGATAATTTAGATAACATTTCAGGCCTAAAGAAAGACTTGTAATAAGCAGATTTTGCTCTTGCATAATGCATGTTTAACAATTCTTTAGCGTTGTAAGAGTAAACATATGTAAAGCGAGAGGTTAAAGTTGCAATTGCAAATTTTCAAGTTATATTCTTAAAATGTATTAAAATAAAGCCTTAAAATAGATGGTATTCATAAACAGTCCTACCTTGTTAAAGAATAATCCTATTAATCCTATAATTCGCTATTGCCAGCTGAGAAATTAGCAAAAATATCATTTTTAACTTCAAATTCCAACGTTGGAAAATGGCTGCCCCATGTTGCCAATAGCAAAACAGGGGAGGTAATTGTGTTGTTATTTCCTGTGTCATAGATTTTTAAGGGTGGGAAATAATGCCCATGATCGTATAATAGTGATTTGATAACCTACTGAGCAAAAGACATAGAAATAATTATGTTTTGACTTTCTTAGAAAATTTGAAATTCTCGCTTTAACCTTTCTCTCGCGTTGAATGGTAAACAGAATTAGATGAGAGGGTAGCATTTTTCTAGCGTTGAGGGGTAAACAGATTTAAGTGAGATGTTAACATTTCTCTAGCGTTAAAGGTTTACACAGATTAAAGCGAGAGGTTAGCATTTGTCTAGCGTTGAAGGGGTAAAATATTTAAGTGACAGGTTATCACTTCGCTAGCATTGTAATCGTTAACAAATGTAAGTGATAGGTTAACATTTCTCTAACGTTGAAGAGAAAAAATATTAAAGTGAGGGTTTAACCTTTCTCTAGCGTTGATACGTAAAATATTTGATTGAGGAATTAACATTTCACTAGGGACGAAGAGGTAAAAGTATTTAGATGAGGGCTTAATATTTCGTCAACGAGGAAGGGGTGCACAGATTTGAGTGACAACAATGGATTTGCTACAGATCGGAAGTATCATGTCGATATGGAGTTTAGCAAAATACATAGCATGACTATTACCAAGTAATATAATAGTTATAGACTGAATATTATCAAGTCTTGATCATACAGTAACACAATAGTATAGTCTGATAAGTATCACGACTTGATTAATACAATAGTTATAATATAGCCTTCATAGTTATAATATAGTCTTGATTACTATCATGACTTGATTAATACAATAGTTATAATATAGCCTTCATATTACCCAGGTTGAGGTTAACCGTATACATATAGCGCTAATTTGGGGAACGCGCAAATTAAACACACAAGTTCTATGAATACAGTTGCTTCTCTGGTCGTTATTAAGCAATGATAAAATATAAAATATTACGAGACAACCTGCAAAAACAACTATACTTGATTAATAACGACCAATATAATATAAACATTTGAACTTACTGACAGTCTTTACCGGATGTTACTACGTTTAAACAGTCTTTGTCTGTGTTGTTAGACTGGTGAACTGTGGAATATATCAACGATATATATATATATATTTATTTATATGTATTTGCATTCTATGAATAATCCCCAGATAAAGCAGAGACTGGGTAATCAGTAGCAAAACAGAGATAAAAAAGAGACTAGGCAATCGAGAATTATCTCCCTTTTTCGGAATATTTGTCATCAGGAAGTGATGAAATGTAGTTTGATATCGCGATTGCATCCAGGGTCATCAATGTAATATATTAACGATATATATTTATGTATTAAAGGTACAGGCCCCACCCGTATTGGTATTAAAGGTGTAGACAGTACCTGTACTGGTATTAAATGTGTAGGCCCTGTCTGTATTGATTGCAGGTGTAGACCCTACCTGTATTGGTATTAAATTTGTACGCCCTACCAATATTGGTATTAAATGGGGGGGGGGGGTCAAATGGTTAGCACGTGCGTGCTGTATTATAAGGCCTGTCATTGAGTCAACTGGCGTGGTTTCGAATCCCCGGTTGTACATGACAAGGAGTAGGGTCGCCTGTCCAACCTCGTGGGTTTTCTCCGGGTCCTCCGGTTTCCTCCCACTGCTAAAGACCCCTACGCGCAAGCGAATTATTGAAATAAAATTAAACCATATGTTAGTCCCGAAATGACCTAGTTTGTGTCGAGTGGGCGTTAATCTATAATCTCTCTCTCTGGTATTAAATGTGTAGACCCTATCTATATCGGTATTAAAGTTGTAGGCCCTAAATGTATTGGTCTTAAAGGTGTGGGCCATACCTGTATGTGGTATTAAAGGTGTGGGCCCTATCTGTAATGGTATTACATGTGTACACCCTACCCGTATTATTATTAACGGTGTAAGCCCTACTGTATTTTTTTATTAAAGGTGCTGGTCCTACATGTATTGGTATTAAATGTGTAGACCCTACCTGTATTGATATAAAAGGTGTCGACCCTACCTGTAGTCGTATTTAAGGTTATATTAAGACTGTGTTGATCAAACGCCCCTAAAATACATCTCAGATCTGTAACGGTTTTAGTGTTTAAATGTAGAGTTGAGCTTGTAAAATAAGAACAGTTGTTATTGTTGAGGGCCTCGTTATTTTCAGTTGTGGCTTCAAGATATGCTGACCAATTTGGGTTTAATGGGGGCGATCGCCATTCCCATCGCCACCCCTCACTCATAATACTAGCTTCTCCACTACATACAATTGACGATGGTAGATAATCAATGCGTCTAATCACCTCCATTTTCAGATTGCTTGGTTCATCTGTAAAAATAATATCCATATTGTCTTCAAAGATATGTTACTATTATTTTATATCTATTTCGGTATATAGGAAACCAAAAGCTTGAATTTAAAAATATAAAAATATTTTCACAATAATATGTTTTCACGGTAAATCTAATGGCGGTGGGTTTTTTTTTGTATTTGTTGCAGTACTGAATAATGATGACATTGACAATTGATCACGTTGCGATATTTCACCCTTGCAAATTCGGGTAACTAAAACTAATTTAATACTTTGGTCGCCATACATATACCCTTGGGTATAATTGCAAGCTTTGGAATAAGTATGCTTGCTATATGTCTTGTTTTATCATAATATATAATTATTTTTGACATCTACTCTGCCTTTTTCTAGGGATACCGGCTATACTAGCGGCACTTTGGTAAGTGGTAATTGTTTATACATGTAGATATATATATTATAAACTGCTTTACTGCCCATACACACTGTCTGTACGGACGGCCGTAAACATTGTAAACTGACTGACTTACTTTTTATACTGACGGCTGTAGATATTTCACACTGGTTTGCTTTCTAGGTCGTTAATAACGTAAACTGACTTACGTTCTGGCGGACGGTGGTATATATTGTAAACAGACCTACGTTGTAATTATTGTAAATTGACGTCTTTTATAACGGGTGGTTGTAAATATTGTAAACTGATTTACTTGCTAACGACCGGTTGTATACATTGAAAACTGACATATTTGTCAACGACCGATCGTTACTTTTTAACCGAAAGTTGCAATTATTATGACTTACTTTCTGCACATAAGATTGTAGCTATTGTAAACTGACCTAAATGCTAGCATACTGACGATAGGTTGTAATTATTGTACACTAACATGCATTCTGAGGGTAGATCGTAATTATTGTAAACTAACTTACGTGCTATACAGACAGTTGTAAATGGTATCCCTGCAGTGGCATTGGAATCTGATTCGTTAAAATTACATCGAAACTGTACGCCATTTTCTTGTGCCTTTGCCAAGTAGGTCAAGGTTGTTCGTGTTTCACCCGGACAGACTAATGTAGTCCCGTTTTCAGGTGGATCTGACAATCGTCCAACCGTAACGTTATCAGTAAAGGGAAACGACTGCCATGGTAACCTGTCTTCGGGAAGTCGCCATTGCCAGGTCCAATTAGTCGCAATACCACTACATTCCAGTCTAATCTTAGCATGAATTGGATACACGGATTGCTCGGGTTGACGAACAACCATGGATGGTCCACCTTGTAAATATAAATAATAAAATGAAGGTTAATATGATGCCTGCTTTGAAACAATCATCATTCACACTGTGAGGAAACGTTTGATTTATATCAGCCATAGAAACTGCAGTTTTATTCACTAATGGAATCAAATAACCTGGTTGGTTCATGGTGTCGTGAATTAGATGGGGAGGGGATGGGGGTAGATTATGATGAAAGGGTTTGGAAGTTTCATAAGAGAGCTTCATGGTAGAATAGATAGGGACAATGGGTCGACGTATTATCACATTTTTTGCTGGGACCATAAACTCATCTTATTCTTTGACACAATGCATTTAGACAAAAACCCAAGCCTCTGCCAATTTAAGTACGATCGACGTGTAACTTGACGACATCCATGTTCTTTGGACACTTATGCGGTGACGTCATGCATGGTTCATGGTCCATATAGCAAGCTTGTACCTCTTTCCCTATAAGGATCAATGACATTGTATGTTATGACCGGGGTTTATGGATGGAATTAGTCAGACTTGTATAGTTACTGTATTACCTAGACTCGATTAGTTGATATAACACGTGATATTGGATGAGATGAATAATTGTTATCAAGATCTGTTTTGCACGTAAAGAGTAATTAATGCCTTAGAAGAATGAATAATAAATATAAATGCCGATGTGACATTTCTGACCGATAATTTAAATTTCTCACGCCTTAATATGTACTTATATTGAATTAAGAAAATTTAACGCTGTACTAAGAAAACAAAATCAGAATACCTACTCTAGATAATCTCCCGATCAGTTTTCTCCGCTACCAAAAAAGGCTGGCAGAGGCTTGTTATGCTCGAGGAGCTTAGATGGATGAAATTTCAATTTATCATAACTTTGTAAATGCTAAGCGGACAGAATTAAACCATTTTTGGATCGAAATTCTATAATACAATACTGAAGTTTGCAAGCGCTAAATGGCATATCGAGCTCATTGTGGAACGGCTTGACATGTTTCAAAAATAAAAGAACCAACACAAAACTATTATACCAAATACCATATTTGATCGTGCCCGATAGTAAGTGCAGGGGGACCTCCTCACCACACCTTAACAAAATGCACAAGACGAACCCCCGGACACGATACAAACAGACCTATCAAGCAATGCACTACAAACGTATATATCACACCAGGATAATACATCCGGGGAGGTGGGGGGGGGGGAGGGAAAGGTGGCTTTACAATCCCGGTAACCAATTAAATATTATAAGCTACGGACTTCATAAAAGGAGGCTGATATAAAACTCCAATAGTCAAATATGTTCTAGAAGACTGGATGTGTTCTGCCTCATACACGATACTCGGCATCGAACTCGAGTTGCCGAAAAATTTATGCTGTAATTGCTTGTACTCGCACACACCATGTTCACAATTAGAAAAATACAACATACTGTGGGCTCTAGAGGCTTACAAACTGTATATTATTCATATTTTGAGAAAATCAAGGGCCATAATTCAAGATGTTGCGGGCTGATGCAGACCAAATCCATTTTGATCCTTAATCTGTAAAATTTCATCTTAATCGTGACATAAACTAATGTCAACAGACGCACAAGCATCTATAAGTTCCAATGTACGGAAGGACGTACTTAAACGACAACATATCACGTCCACATATTACCACAATAGGTAGAGTGAGTAAAATTCTGTGAAAGAAAACGTGGAATATTTTGACAATTTAAGTAACTTGACTTGCTTAATGACCCTAAATGAACACATTATGAAAATGTTAGCGCACTTGATTTGAACCATTGTTACAGGTATCCATCTCAATAAGTGTATCAAGTCGTGGTGTTTGTTACCTCACTGTCGCTAATGGGTGTATCAAATCGTGGTGTTTGTTACCTCACTATCGCTAATAAGTGTATCGAATTGTGGTGTTTGTTACCTCACTATCGCTGATAAGTGTATCGAATTGTGGTGTTTTTTACCTCACTATCGTTGATAAATTATCGAATCGTGGTGTTTGTTACCTCACTATCGTTGATAAATTATCGAATAGTGGTGTTTGTTACCTCACTATCACTGATAAGTGTATGGAATTGTGGTGTTTGTTGCTTCAGTATTGCTAATAAGTGTTCCGAAGTGTTGTGTTTGATATTTCACTATCGTTGATAAGTGTATGGTATCGTAATTAAAATGGATATCAAGTACACTACAACGTAAACTTACCTGTCTTTAGATGAAAATCGCCTTGTAAGTTTTGAATTCCCGCGTCATTCAAAACGTGAATTACACATCTGTATTTCCCTGCATCTGAACAATCTGGTTGTTTAATTGTCAAGATTGCTTTGGTAAAAACGGATCTTGTTGATATCATGTGAAGGCTATATTTTTTTGGTGAAATCCCTGGTCCAGGAACAACAGTACCGTTGCCTACAATCCCTAATAAAATTCTAGATTCTGTTGTGTTTACAGGTATTTTCTGTATTTCAACTGAACGTATTGCGTCGCTAGGCGAGGGCGTGTTTAGTGAACATTCTACGGTTAATGTATTATCGTTGTTTGTTACATAAATATGGATAGCATCAACATCTGTAAAGAAAAGATCAGTATGTTAATGACAAACATTCCCATAGGGATTAGCGAACACTGCTCACAATTTAGATTTATCTTCATTTGGATATATCGCATCCGCGTAGGGGTCTTCAGCAGAAGGCGGGGGGTGGGGGCCTGTGGTCTCGTTGAATAGAAACCACACATTGGACGCGTTGACAGGCATTATGATCTACAACTTCAGCCTTCCAGGTCTCAAAATAAAGAACGTCACAAAATCTCCGTGTAAAGGTCATGTGTACACCACCCAGACTTCTATATTTTTGGTAAATATTTATATTGTTTTGGTTTAGCAAACGGTATTTTGTTTCACATACACGAACGCAAGATCTTTAAAATTATCAGAATAGTTCAATGAACCTATTCGAAATACGCCCACACAGCAGTTTTGTCTCAGCAGCAGATTATCCAAATGGAAAACTTGGACGTTGACTAAATTTAATAAGGATCTAACATCCTTCAATGAATCTAATCTCCCCAAGCTTCTTCGGGCATATAATATATCTCTGTAACAGAGATGAAAAAAATGGGGTTTAACGTCCACTCGACACAAACTAGGTCATTTCGAGATTACCATATGGTTCAATTTTATTTCAATAATTCGCTTGCACGTGGGGTCTTGGGAGAAAACCGGATTATCCAGAGAAATCCATGAGGTTGGACAGGCGACCCTACTTTGCTTGTCACGAACAACCGAGGAATGGAAACCATGCCAGTTGACTCAATGACAGACGTTATGATACAACGCGCGCTAACCATTCGGCCATCCAACCCCCTCTTTGTAACAGAAAGTCTTAGAATCATCTCGGTCATAGAACACTGAATATCGATAGTGTTCATCCTCTCATTACCCCAACTATTCAAACCAAATTTTAAAAATCCGTTAAAAGCTGAAGTCTCTATGCGTCAACAAGATTTTCCTAGAAAAACGGATTTTTAAAATTTCTTTTGAAGAGTTAAGGTCATAAGAGGATGAACCTCATCGATATTTAGCACTCAGTGACAGCCAGTTCCCGAGTGCTAAAAATTGATGGGGTTCATCCTCTTATGACCCTCTTCAAACCAAATTTGAAAAATAAATCTGTTAAAAACTGTAGTCTATATCGCGTTAACAAGATTTTCGTAAAGGGAAAAAATCCGTCTAAAACTGTAGCCTCTGTGCGTTAAAGGGCCAATTGTTGACGATCGGTAGGATCGAAGGACGGGCATCAGTGACGACATAAATGTTGGCGTATAAAAGTGGTATATTAAGTGAAATAGGTTTCTCAAACAACTTACTAGTTAAATATATAGTTATGTCCTGGTTATGACTTTCCAAACCTGCGGCTGTACATCGAAATTGTTTACCATTATCTTCACCTTTCACATTATAACTTAAGAAACTGCTTGTCGAATATTGGCACCCTTCAGTTTCCGGTCGAGTAACAATAGTGGATATATCCTCCTCGGAATGAACGTAAGCCCTCCATGATGATTTAGAATTAGATCTCCATAACCAGGAGATATTTTGTGGAGGGTTGCCGATATCCCCCTCGCATTTGAATGTGAGAAGATCACCGACTGTAGAAAAGTACGTGTTTGGTGTTTTACTTGTACTGATACTGGTAGGAACAACTGTAATAAACAGAGTATTATACTATTAGTAGGAAAACTGTAATAACAGAGTATTAACCAAGGAAAAAACTGTAATAAATGGAGTATTATACTATGAAATTGAAATGAAATGGGGGTTAACGTCCTACTGTTCTGCTCCGACTGGACTATATGAAGACGGCTGGTAGGAAATACTGTAGTAAACACAGTAGGAAAATTGTAATAAATAAAGAGAGTATTGGTGGGGGAAAAACTGTAATAAACAGAGTATCAGTAGGAAAAACTGTAATAAACAGAGCATTTAACTACTGGTAGGTAAACTGTTTGTGGGGTTCAGGGGGTTGGTGGGGCTTAAGGTAGGAGCAAGGGGTTGGTGGGGTTGAAGGTCGAGATGTTTCAGACTGGTTTCCTCTTGTCAGCAGCACAGGATCAAGGGTCGGTTAAATAAAAGCCGCTCGTCGTTCGGGTGGCTCAATAAACAAACAAACTTACGGACATCTGTGACGGTTTTAGTTTCCTGTAAACCTTGAAGGTTATCTTCTGTGGTCCCGGACGTAATACAACCATACACGTCGTGGACTCTACAAGATGGACTCTCCGCAATTTCTAGATACGAATTCAGCGGTGCTGATATGTCAAATGAACCCATGACAGTAACGCCGTCTTCACTCCGTGAAAGCCAAGATTTATCAATTATCCAACTTTCTGATTCTCGGCCTCTGTGACGGTAAATCCGTATTTCGTCAAGTCTGGTATAACCAGCATCTACTTGCGGTGAACATCTCAATTTTAATTGTCCGGCGCTTGGTAGATTTAGAATTTGTAATTGACCGGACGTGATAGCTAAAAAATATTTTTAAAAATATATCCAGTAATTTATAATCAAGGCAGCAAAAAAACAAAAAAACAACAACAACATACAAAAAGCAAAGTCTTTAACAGTCACCGGAGATAACGTTCAAGATGGGTGCACGCAATTTGAAAGTCTTTTAATCTGGGGTTTTCCCAATTAGCCGCGAAATGTTGACGAGAAATTAAACCCAGTTACCTTGCATAAACCATTTCTTTATCATATAGCAATTATGGACATGTCTTCTGTGTTCAACAAACTTTGCTTGCCTGCTACTCATTATAGTCAATACATTCTCTGGTATTTTCTTCAATCTGGCTTTTTCGGGAATATTTAATGCATTTGTACTGTAGATCAAGTGTGGGCTGTGGCTTGTAATCGTTTGCGAGAAGTCGTGACAACATACAATTTAACACTAGCTAGTCAGCAAAATATAACACAAAAGATCTACAGTAAATGCAATTATGTATGTGCTATGGCGTACAAGGGGTCAAAGGGATTAATGTATCAGTTGGGCTCGTGTTGGTGCCTGGGTATGGAGGTGATGGACACTGACGGAGAATCCCTCGTTTGACTCTCAAGGTACGGTGGTACCTTTATCGTGTGATTCTCAGAGTACGGAGATGGTGGACATTGCCGGGGAAATCCTTCACAAGACTCTCAAGGTAAGAAGGTGATGGACACTGCTGGGAAATCCCTCGTATGACTCTCAAGGTCAGGAGGTGTTCACAAGTAGGATATACAAACATATGTTTTGATACATGAGCTCGGACTATAACGCGTCTATACGCTTACGTACCGATGTCGGATTTGGCGTGTTTCTTACCTCTAGAGTATAGAGTAGTTGAGAAACTGTAGGCCTCGAAATCTCCTAAAATACATTTGAACTCTATTCCTCTATCTGTCATGGTATGTTTCAAAGTTGAAGTGGTAAACGAGTTACAACCAAACTGTTGCGAGCTATAACTGGTGGTAATGTTATCCGGGTACTGGTAAGGCAGCCATGTTTTATTCAACGGATCGTCTCGCCATTGCCATGTCCAATTCTTTAAGGGAATTCCTACATACCCCGAACATTTTACTTCTACTGAAGAATTAATAGCATACACACCTTCTCGATCTGACATAGCTAACCCTCTGGGATCAGCTGTAACATACACAAACACAAAGATGGGTCAGCTGTAACAGTACATATACATATAATTAACAGAAATTGAATTGTAATTAATTATACTACTTGTAGCAACATAAATTGTATTCTTTGGTTTTTGGCAGTTTAAAGTAAAAAGAAGTGAATGGATCCGGGGCGTAATATCATCCAAAGCCTTCGACATTGAACACACGCACGAATTATTTGTCAATTTAAGTCAACATTGATGTTGTGATCTTACCGGGAAAAGATGGGCCTCTGATATCCAATATTTAAAGCAAAATTTACATTTTACCATTGGTACACGAATCGTGTACCATAATGCGTTTCAGCGCCATTTGTAACAAGGGTCTCAAAGACAGAGGCTAGACATATTCCACAAGTCATGTCAAACGGTGACGCCATATTCTTATCTGGAGAGCATGCGCAATAAATACTATCGGTGTAGACTGGAATAACCAGACGCTAGAGATTGCCATTCGATTGAGACTTCTGGCGTATTTTGCCGAACATAACTGATTTGAAATTAGAGCAAAAACGGAAACGATTGAATGTAAATCAGTTTATATACATTCATATTATATTATTATATGCGTTGCTACCCATTTGTGTCAATTTCTAGGTCCCAAATATTAGCGATTTAGCTCCTTTAATACAGAGCAGTGCCAACCAAGTTAAATCTATCGTACTGTATTTGATGATTGGAGATCATTGGCATAGTGAATACCGCATCAACCGACCGTATGATTATACCCCCCACAATTAAATATTTAAGCCTTGTACGAAATTCAATTATTTCAAAATTGTTATTTTACTGATGAAAATTTGGCTTGTAGAAGACGAGGTTCGGGTAATTATTAGAGTAATAATACCCAATGTATTGGTTTGTTTTGGGTGGACGTTCAATCCTATCTCTCTCACTTTTTCTCTTTTCATATTGCTGATGATATACGGTTGCATGTAATGCACATCATGAATTACATAAAGATTCTAATATATTAACCCCACCAACACAACAACTTAAGTACATTAAATAAGAGAAGAGTTTCTTACCTTCAATGCAGATGCGTATACTCTTCGAATACAAAGTCGACTGTCCAAGTTTACATGTAAATTGCAGGGCATTGTCATCATCCCTTATCACGTAAGTCATCGTTGTGCGTGAAAAGTTACCGCAGTCTGGATTATACGATGTTTGGTTCACTACGTCGTGTTGATCAGAGAGTGGGACTGTAGTGCTGCGTACATGAGAGCGGACTCTATAATACTTCGAATATACCCACGACCACTGATGTTGATAAGTTCCTGTATATCCACTACACTCCAGGGTTATCGGTGTGCCTGGTGTGTACACCGGTAGTTCTGGTTCACTCTTTATTTCAAGATCTCTGGCTACACCTTTCAATGAAAACATAAACAAAAATATGCTAGAGGCCCATGATGATGAATGGAAAAGGGGTTTAAGTCACCGTGAAATTGATATAAGATTAATTTCCCTGGTTATCTGTGCCACGCGGATCGGGGGGGGGGGGCAATTTGCCCGGGGAATGTTGTTTTCCACTCCCATTGAAATTTTCAGCAAATTGCCTTTACATTATCTAGTTTTTAACTATTATAGTGAGAACTGTCAGCGCTTTATCTAATCTCCCATAATGTATCTTTAATCGAAATAAAACAAAATCAAGTTAATTTAGATAATTATTAACTTACTCTCGGCATAAATACCATAATTACTTGTAGAATATTCTATAAATGTGTTCGTTATATGTATTTGTGTGAAAAAAAGGCCTGTCTCCGTGCAATCAATTTAGATGATAATAACTTACTCTCAACATGAACAATCGTATCAACTTGTAGAGTCTGACTGCCAACATCATTAACGCCATTAGTAGAACAGATATACTGACCACCATCCGTACAATCAGGGTTCATTATCAGCAGTTCCAGATATGATCCTGTGATTCCTGTAAATTCTCCACTAATATTGTATTTGACTTGATTAATTTCAGATCCAAGAGTAGCTCCAGATGCAGATATTGATGCTAAGATTGTTGGCGATTCCGGAGTGAGTGGATTGTGTTTTTGTATCTGGATGTAATTCAGGGATGTAAAGTCTGATGTTTCAATCGGAGAACATCGAATTGTTAGATTTGCAGCTCCGACTGGTAAAATGTATTTTGGTGATACTTGAACGCGTGCGGCATCCATATCTATTACACAATATAAATACAAAAGAAACATTGAGACAGTATTATATTTGAACATTATATAATTAGTTCCAATCTATGAGAGAGAGAGAGAGAGAGAGAGAGAGAGAGGAGGTGGTTCAATACGATAGCACGCAGTGGTCTTTAACAGTGGGAAGAAACCTGCACATGAGGTTGGACACCACGCCACTTGACTCAATGGCAGACATTATGAATTCACATGCACGCGTTGAGCCACTAGATCCCCACCCTACCCAAATGGTAAAATGGTACGACTAATCATGAATGAATCAAATAATGGGTTTCGTGATTGTTATAATCTGGTGACAATTTAGTCAAAGATTGGTATTGCTTATATAAAACTGAAAAGCAATGAAATGCGGTGTAACGTCCTACTGTTCTGTACCAACCGGGCTAATGAAGACGGACATACGCTATACAGTGTGATATTGGGGATATTTTGCCCGGACAGTGGCGCTAAGGCCTACTCTTATATCGAATTCCAATTGTCAATGTGTACAATGTGGACCTATAATTTTCGTCCCATCCGAACTACTATACATAGTCCCTTGCCAGGCTGGGGAACCACAACGGAAAATCCTGATAAACTTTCTCGGCCAACGCGAGGATTGAATACGGGGCCTCCAGGTTAACAAGCCAATAAGCCACCGTGGCATGTATAAAAAAAAAGAAACCTCTAGAAAACGACTGTAATGTGTCTTACTGGCTAAATATATCGTTGTCGTTCTACTGGCTGGTTCTGGACCTCCAACTGTACATCTGAACTGTCTTCTATTGTCATCGTCTCCTATTTTATACCTCAAGACACTCTTTGTCCAATAATCACATTGGGTGGAGGTTGGTGATTCAGCGTCACCATTGGTTACACTTTCTATATTGGAATAAACAACCCAGTCGTCACTATTGGGGGACTTCCATTCCCAGGTTATGTTTAGTGGAGGATCTCCTACGTCACCGCTACATTCTATATCACGAGTTTCGTTGATGTTAGAGAATCGTCTGTTCGGGATGGTCGCCATTGTTAAAGTACCTTATAGTTAGATAAAAATATATGGAATTAGCTGAATAAATAACAAAACATTATTTTTGTTTTATCGTATCCATAGTGTTCGATCGATACGATCGTGTGATGAGATTCGGGTATGGTTGATTTGATCAACAGAACAAGAGATGGATGAAATAGTAGGGGTTGAACAATCTATTGAATCGACTGTATCAACGATCGTGCTGATTCGACATGCCAGATATAATAACAACGAAATCGATTGTTGAATAATGTACATATGTCCGTTTTCAATGTACAAGTTTTCGCGGAGCTTCCTCGCGCGTTTTCGACGGTTACATGGAAACCTTCCAATTACAGTTGCATTAGACGAAACTTTTTAGTCGGCAAAAAACGCGAGCAGAAAAGCTGTGAAAAAAACCTGAATGAAAAAGGTGTCTTACGTTTAAAGCCAACAGTGGCTGTAGCTTGTAGACGTTGAGTTTCCAAACCAAACCTTCCAACCGTAACACACTGATACTCAGCTGCGTCAGTACAATCTGGGTTCGATACATCGATCTGCAGATACGATCCTGTTATTCCAATAAGCTGCCCACTGATGTTATACTTGGCTTGAGTCAATCCAGGACCACGTGTTATACCAGAAGATGTAATAAAAGCTACACGTACTGGCGAATCTCCAGAACGTCTTGTTATCTCTATATATGTCAGTGAGGTATAACCACTTGTTTCTATTGGTGAACAATTTATGGTTAAATTTGAAGCCCCAACAGGAAGCTGGTTTGTTGGTGAAATATTTATTCGTGCTGCATCAAAATCTGTAATATATACGAACAGAATTTATTCACCTTACCAAACTGACTTAAGCATATTAATGTTCAACAGACCAGAAGATATTTTGGGAAAGGCTTCTCCGCCAATATAAATAGGTTTTTATCGACAGGCTAATCATAACAATACACCAAAGCAAATGCACAACCTTTCAGAACGAACAATGGATACCATTTAGAATACCGCCGATCTGAGGACAACCTTAATTACGCCCTGCTTTTCTGCTCCAACCAGACTAATCAAGACGGATATGCCACATGCAGTGTGCTATGTGGGACATTGTGCCCAGAAGGCGACGCTACCGTCTACTCTTATTCCATCTGTAAAAGGGTTAAAACGCCTTACTGTTCTGTTCTGGGCTAATGAAGACGGGTATGTGCCATTCTGTGAGCTATGACATCAGCAAAGGCATCAGCAAATAGATTATGACAAATCGAAATGCGGTTACTTACTGGCTAAGTTTATAGTTATTTTTACCAACAATAAACCTCAACTGTTCCAGACCTCCTTGTTAGTAAGCGAAGAAAACGTCAAATATATTATGGCAAAATGAAATAAAATTACTTACTGGCTAGGTTTATAGTTGTCTTTGCACTGAGTACGTCCACATTACCAACAATACACCTCAACTTCTTACCATTATCACTTGCTCCAACCGTGTACGTTAAGGAACTTCTTGCAATATAATTACATCTGTCAGCATTAGGTGGGTCTAGATTACCGTCAGTTATATCAGCAAGATCAGGATAGGGAAACCATTCGTCGCTATCTGGCAGTCTCGATTCCCACGAGATATTTTGTGGAGGATTTCCAACTTCACCACTGCATTCTAATTCCAGAGTTTCGTTGATGTTGTAGAATCGT